TCTCTCTACTCTCCAAAGTGTTTACATTCTTTTAGTAAAGGAATAATAGATAAATATAAGGCATAAGACTACAGATGGTTCAAGTATAAACTTGAAATATACTGCTAATGTTATTGTCATAATTACTTCTCATTGATTAGCCTCCACACCTCCAAAAAAAAACAACAACAAAAAAAAAAAAAAGTCCTGTACATTCAGCATTCACTTAGCTAAACTTTCTTACCTTGTCCAAACCAGGCTGAGCTGCCTAGCTGGAATACCCTGAATTTATCCCTTGTGTTAGCAGCTGTTTTGCTCAAGACACTTCTCATGAGCCAGAACTAAGCCCTGGTTGGACACTGCTGCCTTGTAGTTCCTTGGCACTGTTACAGAATTTTATTTTGCTTGCACCAGAGTGTCCATGCTGCTTCTCCTTACTGCAGGTCTTAAACATTTTCTTAATTTTTTAATATCTACCTACTACATCTGAGTCACGAAACTACATGCATCTCCTCGAATAGTCCTAAAAAACCTGCAAGTTTGAACTTTTGCTCTCTTTTCTATCCTAACTCAATACCTAATGCCACAAAACCTTGTACTCAGGTGTTGGTATCAAGTAATTTCTCTCTAAATCCTGAAGGTTTTTAAACACGAGTAGTTCCAACTTTGGAAAGTGATAAAGCATCTAGAGCATAAAAGTGTTTTTAAAGCTGTAACTATTTTGATGAATGAGTGCATCATTCTTAAACTGAAGTGCAAGACAATTCCTTTGGGAAGAACACTTCAGTCTTTGTGTAATAAATGGTATCAACGGTATTCATTTTCAAAATAAAGAATCTTGTTTTCCCTAGATGTTTAATTTGGTAGCATTACAGATTGATTGATACTTTTCCAGCTCCTTTGGGTTGAGATTTTTAAAAATTGCTTATTTTATGTGGAGACTTAAATGAAATCCTGGAAATGGGATTTGCCATTTCTCTCCAGTTAGTGATGCTGCTTCTGAAGGTGCAGTGTTTCCACTGACCTGGATTGGGCTAAGGGAGTTCCTTCTGCATTACCCATGCAAACCTCTCCTGTGAGCTGTAATTTAATTACAAGTCATGGTCCCGTGTCCTTTTCATGACCTTATTTGTGGAGAGCCATGGACTTGAGCACAGGTGGATACCTGTGAAGGAGTTCTGGGTGCCACCACAGGAGAAGAGTTGAGGCCAGAAAGCCAAAGGGAGTGACTGATGGGTCACTCCACACACACACATTGCTCACTCAGCTGGGTGGCTGTGAAGCAGCACAGAGGCACAGATCAGTAGACTGAGTGTAGAGTGTTCTCATCCAGTGGCTGGGTGTGAATTTCTGCCCCCAAAGAGTGAAGATGGAATAATGAACCTCAGAGGGCAAGGCCCCCTGGGGTGTGTTGGTGGTGAATTAGCATGTATGGTTTGTGTTATTAAAGGATGGTATTTTTAAAAGATGTGCAAGAACCCTGTATGAGCTGCAAATTGTCTTATAAAATTAACAATGACATTTGTTGAAGGCTTAGTCAGTACCCATTTTAGCCTAATGAATGAATGGGGGATTTGTTCGATTTTGAGGGGGTCTTATGTAGGCTTGTGAGGGAGGGTAGGATTGTGGTGAAAATGGGATGTGCTCAATATAAGCTACTGATGAGATCTGATTTCTCTAGGTGCTGCTGAAGGTGCTGTACCAATACAAGGAAAAGCAGTACATGGCTCCTAGAGTTCTGCAGCAAACGCTAAATTACATCAATCAAGGAGTGTCTCATGCAGTCACCTGGAAGAATCTGAAACCTCATATTCAAGTAAGCCATTTTGGAGGCTTAATACTTAGATGACTCAGAAGTACATTAGTCAATCTACTGTACAGTGTTTCCAGCCCTGCTACAATTCACATTTTAGGCACTTCTCTTATAAATTGCCAGTGGAAAGAGTTTAAGCCAATTTAGTGAAGGTTACCTTGAAATATGAACAAAGCCAGCTAATTGATTGCTGTCTTTCCTTTTTGTTTTAATTTATTAAAGATTACAATCTAACACAGCATATTTGGAGATGCTGTTAGCTGCTGAATTTATGGCATTGCATCATCTCCACATGCCATTATCCAAAGCCAATCTGGTATCTTGTGTTGTATTGTAACTCTACCTAAACACAAATTATCTGCTTTTTTATAAAGTGCCACATAAATCCACCCTAAATCCACATAGTTTTAGAATGCTACCATTTTATATGAGGAAGTGACAGGATGGAGAAAATCTGTAAAATACAGGACACAATATAGAGATTGATTTAGTAGTGGTAATCTGTTTTCAATCTCTTTTTTTATTCAAGGGAATCATCCAAGATGTTATTTTCCCATTGATGTGCTATACAGATGCTGATGAAGAGCTTTGGCAAGAAGATCCATATGAATATATCCGCATGAAATTTGGTGAGCGTTTGAAATTTGTTCATGTTAAAAAATTATTTCATGCAAAGGATGGGATTTTATGGGGTGTTTTTGTGAAACTGAGATGGCTTTAATTTTTAAGGCCAGTGTATTCACCAAATAATAGAAGTTGGACATATTGGTGGAAAGGAGAGAGGATACAACAGTCAGCAATGACACAGGAGTTTGTGCACTTGTGAAGGTATTTAATTTTTACAGTTACAAGTCACACAGTCCTGGTCTTGCTAGCTACAACTACATAAATTTAATGTCATTTAAAAGTTATGCCATAAACAGCTAATATTTCAGGCCCTGGATTTCTTAGGGAATTTCACCCATGGCACAGTTCAGAGCAGGTTTACCTCACTGGTAAATGACACATTATGGAGTAAGCCTGGCATTCCAGACTTGTCCCATTTCACCTCCTGTGCTCTGCTACTTTATGTTGGGGTTTATTCTAAGTCTGTGCAGTCCTCTGATGCTGGGAACAATAAAAAAAAAAAAGCCTTCAGACTTCCTGAACAAATTCTTCCCTTCACTAGGAATGTTTATGTGGCTAGAACAAGGGGTTTGGGAGTTTTTATCCCTCAGGTCAGAGGCATACCTATAAACACTACAGGTGTTACACAAGGCTCTGATAATCCTCTTCTGCAGAGAAATGGAGCATTTTTTAACCCAGTTAATTCTGTGTCCTGGCCTGTAGAGCAAATAACATCCATGTCAAAACTTGACTGTTGGGTCTGCTTCTACTGTTAAAAATATTTATCTTAAAAATAAGAGACATAGAACTTCAGATTAGACATGTAGACGCAGTCATCATGAAAAACATGAAACATATGTATCCAACTACGTGTTACTCTTTGGACTTGGACTGTCTCTAGCTAGAAAGCACAATTAATCACCTGAAAGGTGCTCTTTTTTTCATGTTAAAAACATTGGGATCATGAACTGTAGTAAAGGACCGGAATTTAAAACTGTTACAATGTTATTTAACAGATGTATTTGAAGACTTCATTTCTCCAACAACTGCTGCTCAGACATTATTGTTTACATCGTGTAGTAAAAGGAAAGAGGTAAGTTGTTCAAGGATTATACTGAAATACCACTAGCTAAATTCAGTTTATTTGCTGAAAGAGCTATTAATAAAAGTTATACTTTTCTGCTCTCATCTCATAGTATGCTAAAATTTGAAATTCCAAATTTATTTTGCACTGGTCTATTTATGATTTTTTGTATTTGCAAATTCCCCTAGGATCCATTCTTGATAGAATATGGTGTGTTTATAACAAAGACATGAAACATTGCCCAAATTCCAGACTTGGAGCAGACTATTAGCATTTCAGAGCACAGAGAAGGTACCTGGGTTGATTGATTGGAATACTTTGACTAACCTTACATGTAATCTAGGTCCTGCAGAAGACAATGGGCTTTTGCTATCAGATCCTTACAGAGCCAAATGCTGATCCTCGAAAGAAAGATGGTGCTTTACATATGATTGGTTCTTTGGCTGAAATTCTCCTAAAAGTAAGCAGAACAAATCTAGTTCTTTTCATCCTTTTTTTTTTTTTTTTTTTTTTTTTTTTTTTTTTTTTTTTCCTTCCTATGCTTTCTCTAACATATAGTGCCTTAGAAGAAATGCAAATAGCTCAGAGTTCACAAGTTTCTGAACTGCTGCCAGTTTTTTTTAAGCTGTTGAACTTAATTGTTTTGGGTTTAATGTCAGCTTAATTACCAAAGTTTTATAGGTCATGTTCAAGTTTAGATTATTAAGTTCAGTTAAGTGCTCTGCTTCTGGTGAGAATTACACCATGTCTGTGCTTCACTTAATTACATTCCCTTTTTTGTAGGAAAAAAGTGCATCCAGTGAGAGGCTGTTTATTTAATGGACTAGGTTTTGTGAGGAAATAAAAAGAAATTAGGAGATCTTGCTCGGTTAAAATGGTAGCAAAATAGATGCATGGCATGGACTTGTATTTGGATTACAACTCTAAGCAGTTTCCCTGACCACTTTTACTTTTGGTGCCAATGTGCTGCCAACTGAAAGGTGTCTCTTGGGGTCAAAAACTGGCTGGGGAAAAAGGTGTCACTATTATTACTGAAAATTTAGAAGACCCATGTAGGATCCAAGTTTAATTACTAATACAGGAGATCGTTGTTGCCTTATTGACTTTAAAAAAAGGATAAGTAAAAAGTCTGAGGGTTACACTCTTCACACTTTCATGTGTGACTTTTTTATTGGGATAGAAATAAATTTTTATATGAAGTTTTAAACTGATGTGCCTCCCTTCATATTTTGACAGAAAAAGATCTATAAGGATCAGATGGAATATATGTTGCAGAATCATGTGTTCCCTCTCTTCAGCAGTGAGCTGGGTTACATGAGAGCACGGGTAAGGAAGTGTGGCATTTACTGGTGAGATACACTGTTCCAGCTGAAGAATTCAGAAATCTGCAACTTCTCCCCTCTCACAGATGCTCTCCTTTCTGCACCTTTTTCATAATAAATGGTACACCTACTCCAGGGATGAGTACCAGTTTTTGCATGTGATTATAGATAGCCCCTGTGTAGTTTTGAAATGGCTGCAGCGCTGTGTGCACAGTTTCCCATCTGTGTCTGGTGGTAGGGTCTGTGTGTGTTTTGCACATAGACTGTACTGCTCACACAAAACCTGTGGCCAAAGATGAACCTGAGATCATAGTACTGGTTTAGTGATGTCTGCCCACTGACCAGCCTCCACACTCTCAAACATCTTCATCACTGAAGAGTCTTATCTTTATTCATCAGCAGTTGCATCTCAGATTCAACGATTTGTGTAGGTTGTAGGTTTTGCAGCTCTGAATTTCTTCAATGTCTTTTTTTTCAGGCTTGCTGGGTTCTTCATTATTTCTGTGAAGTCAAGTTTAAAAGTGACCAGAATCTCCAGACAGCCTTAGAACTCACAAGAAGGTGTCTGATAGATGATAGGGAAATGCCTGTGAAAGTGGAAGCTGCAATAGCCCTTCAAGTTCTCATCAGTAATCAAGAGAAAGGTAGGAGCCTTTTCTTACAGCTGTGGGAAGCTTTAATGGAATAGGTGTTAACTTTGTGATGTTCAGGCAGACTTGTTCTCTTCTTCCCTGATGTTAATTTAATTTCCCTCTTGCAATTGTAATTTGTAATCATTTGCTGTAATTTTTCAGCTAGAAAAGTTTAATTTTTAAAATAAATTACACAATAAAGTGCATTTTAACATAAGACATAATGATTATTAAAACATGGTAAACAAGAGCTTCATGGTGGAGTAAATCCAATTTTATAGCACCTAATAATTGAATCAGAAATACAGTGGCAATATCTGCCTTGGCATATATTAATTCATGTTAAAATTTATTTAAAGGAAAAAAAAAAGTCTGTCTTGATCCAGGCAGGTTTTACATGGCTTAGTATTCCTGAAGCTGGCATAAAAGCCACAGAGCAAACATAAATTATATATTTAATCCTTCAGGTAATTTGATAAAGGTGTATATGTACCATTCCCATTCAGTTAACATTTGCGTTGCTCAGTAATCTTGTATTTTATTAATTCAGACTGCAGTGCTGTGGTTTTCATACTTAAATTTTGATCCTCTTGTCATATACTATTAAAATTTGTTCTGAATGTTAGTTTTGCTATAATGATTTATTCTACTCATGGTTTTGGCCTGTTGATGCTGAAACACTAAATAAAGTTATTTGAGGTGTACGTTCTTAAACTCATCTCTAGTTTTCTAAGAATGTTAATTCAAACATTCCACCTGTTTTACAGCTAAAGAATATATTACTCCATTCATTAGACCTGTAATGCAAGCTTTGCTTCATATTATAAGAGAGACTGAAAATGATGATCTTACTAATGTGATTCAGAAGATGATCTGTGAATATAGTGAAGAAGTTACCCCAATTGCAGTAGAAATGACACAGCATTTGGTGAGACTTTATGGTGGCTTGGGAAGATGTTTAATATGGGAAAGATTGGTGTTTAAATTTGATAGTTGAGTTTGACCATCAATTAATAGCTGTTGTTAAGTTTAAGTGCATTGATATATGTAATTTTCTTCTGCATTTAGACAGTTTTTTATCAGAAGTGGTTTCATAACTTAAACCAACTAGAAATTTCTAAGAACATTGTAGAAATATTTGCCACATAATTTCCTCCTGATAGTGGTAATAATGAGATTGGTAGCACATTTTAGGTAGTTTCTAAAACGTCACTTAGGTTGTCTCCTTTAAAATATTAAATTAAAGAGTAGATTTAAAATGAAAATTTTGGTGTGAAAATAAAGTTGAATCTGCAGGAGAAATTCAGAGCTTGAATGGCCATATATAGCAAGTTGCATTAATGGTTGCAAAAGCAGAGGTCAGCTCAGTGCTTCCCTACTAAAGGTCTTGGAGTTAAAATGGAATTGTTAGAGTGTCCTCTCTAGGAATGCCTGCCAAATGTTCCGGTCTAGTTCAGTTACTGAGGAAACCTTGTGTCAGAAGAACTTACCATGGGAAAATGTATTTTTTTGCATGGGACATAATGTCATTTATATATTTTTATTGAGGAGTAGATAAAGGGTGACAGTTCCAATGGTTTAACATCCAAATTTTATCATCCTGAGAAGAAATTCTGGAGCAGAGCAGTCACCTGCTATTATTTGTACACATTTTCTCAGCAGAAGTCCTTCTGAAATTGTGTAGAGTGCCAGATTATCACAATTTAATGACATATTTATGGGTTGTTCTGCTATTACGTGCAGGCAATGACATTTAACCAGGTGATCCAGACTGGTCCAGATGAAGAGGGTAGTGATGACAAAGCAGTGACAGCAATGGGAATCTTGAATACTATTGATACACTTCTCAGTGTAGTTGAAGATCACAAGGAAGTAAGTAAAAATTACTTTCAAGCTGATATGTATGGTCTAAGAATGCTGTAAGTCTTTTGTAGTCCTAGCATTGTTAGCTGTAAAACTGTCCTTTTGGCCAAAAATACGTTAAAACAGAAAATAGTGAAGTACTTAACATGTAGCCAAGTTGTAACAGAGTGGGTCACTTTTCTTATGCAATGCATGCAGTAATAGAGCATAAATGTTGCCACAGGATTTCCCATAAGAATCCAGCTTCTTGTTCAAATGTGTCTGTAGCAGGTGGAGCTTTCTCAGCTCAGCTGGAAACACACATCTGATTTGATGAGGTCTGCCCTTCAAACAAAATAGATAAAGCTTCACATAGCTGCAAACATTGACTCTGCTGGCTGGGTTTGCTCACTGTGACAGAATTGATGTGGGTAAATACAGCTCTTGTGGCTGTGCTCAGAGATGGGGGATTTTACCTGCCTCATCTGCCCTGAGGAATTTTCCTTTAGGATTAAAACTTCTATCATTTTGTTTTTGTGTACTGAATGGGGCCACTTCTGTGCAGAGTACAGCCAGTTCAAAAGACGCTATTTCTAATTAAAATCTTTCTTTACAAAGTCAGCTATGGTCTTTTAATAAATACATTACAGTTTTTTAGTGACTCAAGAGTTCAGTAATAAACTATAGGGCTCTGAAGACTTCACTAAAGAAGCAGCATCAAATTCCCAAGGGAATTCCCAAGTATACAGTGCTGCCACACCAAGGACCAGCTCAGCTCATTTACTTGTTGCTAGAGCTGCTTGTACCTGTTTTTGTCAGCAAAGCCTTGCCTTGTAAATTAGAAGTCTGTGTAACGATATGCTAGTCCTGAGGAGCTTAGTTTGAAAATGTTGACCAGTAAACATTAATATTTAGAGACATCTCACACAGTGTTCCAAGAGATAAAGTATTTAGCAGGTTAGTTTCAAATCCTGTTCTGCATAGCTAAAACCAGAAGCTCAGCCTTTACCTGTCCCTGTGCAAGGTGAGTGCCCTCGACAGGCTAATGTTTTGTTAGCTATTCCATGGACTAATATACACTAATTGGGAACACTGACTGTATCTGTAGGACCAGCATTTGCATTCATGCTCTCCATGTCATATGAACATCCTAAGCTAGGTTTGGGAAGTGGTTTGGTATTTAGGATTTTTTTCAAGTTTTTTTGGTTTTAATTTCTTTTCTGGAACAGCAAATACTTCCTGTGATTTCCATTGTTTACTCCTTTGATATATACGTATATTTGCTTACAGTGTTTTAATGGGACTGAACTGATGCAGAGGTTTAGTCGGGCTTTTCTTTTTAAAGGATACCCTATAATGAGATTCTTCCATACTCAAAAGCCATCTTGTATTGAACACTATCTTGTATATCCTTAGCCGAGTGCTGCTCTTACGCATTTAGTGCTCTAAAATGTGAGACATTTCTAATAGTTCTTAAAAACTATATTCTGTATATAGAAGCTGCTTTGACAAATTTTAAGATGTGTTTAATTTCAATTCCAAAGTATTGAAAATAGTAATTACCTGTTATTTTTTTTTCAGATTACCCAGCAGCTGGAAGGGATCTGTTTGCAAGTGATTGGAACAGTTTTGCAGCAGCATGTACTAGGTATCTGTACTTCTGCTGGTTTACTTTTAGAAGTACATGGGATTGGCATGCTATTTACCTAAATTCTGTTTGTTTTAGAGTTCTACGAGGAGATCTTTTCCTTGGCTCATAGTCTGACCTGCCAACAGGTTTCTGCACAAATGTGGCAGCTTCTTCCTCTTGTGTTTGAAGTCTTCCAACAGGATGGTTTTGATTATTTTACTGGTAAGTACTATAAATAAATTGGGAAGCTAGAGGGTTTCATGGATGCAATTTCAGCCATACAATAAATTGCATCATGACTGAAATGTTAGAAAACACTCAAGTGAGATTACACTTGAAGTATTTTTATCTTGCTGTTGCTGCTACCAGACTTGTTTTGCTGAGGCACCTATGATTTGCACACGCTTATGTTGGCAAACATTAAGCAAAAACTGTAATTATTAATACACAGATTTTAACCTGATTTTAAAAGCAGGCAGATGATACCTAACTGTGATAATCCTTCTTTTTAATACAGATATGATGCCTCTCTTGCATAATTATGTCACTGTTGATACAGATACACTTCTGTCAGACACAAAATATCTTGAAATGATCTACAGTATGTGCAAGAAGGTGAGTAGATTCCTGTGTGGTAAAATTACTAAGTTATTGCAGAGAAATTTAAAGAGATTGCATCAAAATTTCAGATACATGCTTTTGGCAGAAGGGAGAAATAAATCCTACATAAGAAAAGCAGAATAAACAAAGCAGGTTTGGTGTAATATGCTTTGTGCATATGGGCACGCAAGACAGATTGCAGAAGGTAGGTGGATTCTTCCATCTGGGATTTGTAGCCTCACCATGGCCAGGATACACATGCTGTATGTGTGCTGAAGGTCTGGTACCTGTTAGCTAAGTAAGTGGTGTAGGGATGGAAGGTAAAGGGACAGGAATAGGAAGTTGTTTTCCCAAGTTCGTGCCACGTCAGTGGTGAAAGCTGGGAGCAGAATGCAGTTAGTCTGACTCAGTCCAGGCACTTTTGGGTAGGGTTTCTGTATCCTAGTTTGTATTACTGGGCTTTCTTTGTCCAGTCAAAATGTAGACTACACAGCTTTCCAGAGTGTTAGCACCATGTTAGGAAAGGAATACTTTTTTATAAGATGTGTGTTAATGTTTTATCATCTCTAATAGTAACGTGGGGATTTCAGTTTTCCACTCCTGGATATGGTGTGTGGTGTCTATATAAAGAGCTTTGGTGAACTGTCAGCTGTGCTGCCTGT